CTGCTTCTCGATTAGTGTCTACTAATTCAATACTGCTGTTGTTTTGTTCTTGAGTAGAAGAATTATTATTTTTTCTTTTGCGAGAAATTAAATAAACTGTTCCGCCGACAACGGTTACTCCAACTACGGTGCCAATAGGGATAGCAATTTTTTGTGTTAAGTTATAGTCATCCGAAGAATCAACAGAAGTAGTCGAGGATGAAATAGGTGTGGCATTGGAGATGCTAGTAGGAGAAGTTAAAGTAAAACTACTACTAGCAATGATGGAAGTTGTTGAATTAATAGTGGCTGTAAACGGATTGAGAGAACTAGGTCCTGGTCAAGAGGCTGATCATTGTAGGAAACATTTTTTATTAGAACATGTTCAGCCACCGTTGTCCCAACCGCAAAACATACCTTCACATGGACTGCCAGTTGGACAATTTCATCAAGGAAATTTTTCGTTTACACTTTTAGGGGTAATATTCGAAATATAATTATTTACTGTACTAAGACTGTAAGAAGAACAAGCTCCTAAAGTAGTACTACTAGTAATTTGATTATCTCCCACAATGCCAGCACACAAATAGTTGCCACCTTCACACGATATTGCTTGCACGAGTTTACTGCAGGCAAAATAAACACTATTAGTGCTGCTCGTGCCTGTAGGGCATAGCGAACTTGTTGCTATAGAAGAGCATTTAATTTTATCACAACAAATATTCAATATTTCTCCACTGTTTATAGTATTATCATTACTTCAAGGATAAATAAGAAGTTCATTGTAGGAGGTAGTATCAGTATAGCCATAATTATTATTATTAAGGCAATTAACAAAAGCTTGTCCAGCTTCCACTTCATTTACCGACAACCAACTCACCAACAACAAACTAGCCATCTTTTTCTTAGTTCAAGTAGTAGGTAAATTCAACTTATTTATTTGATTATTATTTAGTTTTTCTTTAGAAATAATTGCGTTTTCTTTCATATTCTTTAATATTATCCTGAATTATCAGGAATAAGAAAAGTAATTAAAGAACTTGGACTAGAAAAAACAACGAAATATCCTCCTTTAGTAAAGCAAAAGTGATTATTTAGAGAATTAAAGACTATTTTTCCTCTCTCTCGGTTATAGGAGTAGTTCATGTCATATATATTTATTTTAAACTTTATATAAAATTAAAATATAGACCGAAAAGGTAAAAAACTACTTACTGAAATACTTGGTAAATAGTAAGGTTGCAAGAAAAAACTTCTGATTATTTTAATTACAGAATATTAATGCCAAGAGAAAACAAGAAAAGATAATAAGTTTAAATAAGTTAGTCGAACAAGAAGAATATTGTTAAAACTACGAAAAAGAACTTGGAATTAACTAAATTTAATGAGGAGTGTGGTAAGACTAAATGTCAATGTTGACTCCTAAGAATAGAAACTCAAAAAAAAGAATGTTCCGAGTGTAGAAAAAATATTAATATAAAAATGATTAATTAGACAAAAGAATTTGAATTTGTCAACCTACTAAAAAAATATTGGCTATTTATTAAATAGTTTGGGAAAGTTTAAATTTATTAGGTGCTGTTACTGAATTAAAACAATTAGAAAAAATTCCCAGTTTGAACTTACATGATTTAGTAGGTGATAGTTCAGGTCAAAAATCTTTTTTAGTCGGCAATACTAAATACTGTTTTTACTTTTACTGACAAGGCGACGATACTTACAAAATAGAAATTTTTTCCAAAAACTCTCTTTTGCGGCTGGGGTTAGTGTCTAATAATTGAGGTTTAGACTTGAATTATTATTATTGCTTTTTGCGGTAAAGAAAGAAATAAAGAGTACCAAGATGCTGACGAATGTTATCTTTTAATTCAATTTTGGGGGATTGACTTTTTAGTTCTTCAATTATTTTTTGGCATTTTTCATGGGCTAGATCAGGATGGGCTTTTTCCTTACCAACCATAACCAAGTTAATTTTTACCATGACACCATCTTCTAATCACTTCTGAACTCTTCCTAACTTAACTTTTAAGTCGTTCTTTCCAATGTTGAATGTAATTCTTGTTTCCTTACAAATATTTTCTTTTTTATCTTTCTTTTTTTTACTTAATTCAAAGATATATTTTTGATAATTAATTAACTTACAAATTGGTGGGTTTTTGGAGGGAGCGACACAAAAAAGGTCGAGGCCAAGATTTTTGGCTTTTTCTAAGGCTTTTTGTCGGGTAATAATTTCTTTTTCCTCTTTGTTGGTAACCAATAAAACCTGGGAAAAGGGAATATTTTCGTTGAGAAACTGGGAATTTTCGGTATTTTTATCTTTTAGAACCATGCTTTTTTTGGCGTTTTTTTATTATTAATATTCCTCCTAATACTACTAAAATTATTAAACTTATCGCACTAAAAATAATTAAATTATTGTGATTAGGAGATTTGTTGTCGGCTTGTTCGCTCTCTTCGGAAACAATTGACCTTTCTTTCACTTCTCTTTCGATTTCAGCTCATTCAGTCGGGAGAAAATTGGTTTGGTTATACTCGGCACTGTTTTTAGATTTAAGAGTTATATTTTTCTGGTTGGTTTTTTCTAATTTTTCCTCAATTTTCCACTCGGATTTATTTTTGAGAATATTTTTTAATTGATTAGCAAAAACGGCTTTTCTTAATTCTGAATAAGTTGCTTCGTCAAAAATTAAATCGCCAGAAATAATTTCTTTTTCATCTACTCCTTCTTCATAAAAGCGACCTCGGGTATTGGCTCCTATCCATTGGTGGGTTTTCAGATTAAAAATTTTATTACCAAAACATATTCAATTATCTAAATTAGTTAATATTTTGGCTTTGTCCTCTTGTAATTTTTGCTGGTCATTTTCTCTTTTAATCTGATTAGATTTTTCGACGCGGGCAAATAACTTATCGAGTGAAATACCCGCTTTTTGGACTGCTTGGACGGCTTTGTAATCACTACTTCCTGGTTTTTTTAAGTTTTCGGACATATTTGAACCCCAGGCAAAATGCTCGTCAGGAAAAATATCACTATTAACTTTTCGGTTCATTTGAATAAACCGCAAGGCACGTTCTCAATCTTCTGAATGTTCTAAAATAGGGTCATTAAGAGCCGTTTCCTCAGCACCGGTTAAAGGCGGTTGTTGTTTATTTCATAATTCGTCCTGTTGGTTAAGTCATGAATATCGCAGTTTGGAAGGATTGTTTTCGGCAATGAATTTTTGCCGATGTTTTTCATTTTCTTCTTTTATCTTTCTTGCTACTTCTTCGGGTTTTTCTAATAATATTTTGCCTGTTTGTTCGGTAACAACATTATTATTTCCTAAATCTTTCCCACCATTAAATCTTCGAAAATCCGCTTTTAGTTTTTCCGAAAGAATGATATATTTCTTAAAGTCACCTCCCATTTCCTCAATGCGATAATCTACTCCCTCCTGATAATTTTTTCTATTCTCGGGACTTAACGGAAAGCCGATATTAATTAGATTGTTTTTGTCCTTGTGGTTCATATTTAATTACTATATTGTGTTCTTTTCCTTTTTTAATTTATTATATAATTCTTTTTCGGTTAACTCTTCGGTTTTTCCTTCTTGATAAGTATAAATCAATTTTAATCTTTTTGTTTTCAACTCCTCCTTTCCAATTACTAAATAGTAAGGAATTTTTTTTTGATATACTTCGTTAATACGATAACCAAGGGTCTTTTTGGAAATTATTTTTACTCGCAAATTATCTTTGATTAATTCTTTTTTTAATTCTTCACAATACTTTTTCACTTCTTCCTCTTCATTAATAGGTAAAATAGCCACTTGGCAGGACGCTAGTCAAAAAGGTAATTTGCCGTCAGTTTGCTCCAACAATAAAGCAATAAAACGCTGATAAGTACTAGCGGGAGCATGGTGAATAATTGCTGGGGTTTGTAAATTTTGCTCCTTATCTATATATTTTAGACCAAATTTTTCGGGCAAAACAAAATCTAACTGGATAGTTGCTAAAGTAATATTTTTCCCATCAGCAGTTTGAACTTCGATATCTAGTTTCGGACCGTAAAAAGCTGCTTCACCTCTTAAAATAATATAATCTAAATTTAACTCGTTTAAAGAATTAATAAGTAATTTTTCAGAATAATCTCATAACTCCTTATCTGAATGATATTTTTCGGGGTTATTGGGGTCGTGGAGAGCACAAACCAAACGGGAAACTTGCAGATTAAAATTAGCCAAAATGTCAGCAATAAAAAGATAATTTTTTTGGAATTCAGTGGCTAGTTGCTCGCGAGCCACAAAAACATGGTGGTCGGCCAATTCAAATCACCGGGCTCTTTCTAAGCCTTTCAAGGCTCCGGAAGCTTCGTAGCGAAATAAAAGAGAATTTTCGCATAAACGGAAAGGTAATTCCCGGTAAGAACGAGGTTTTTGTCGATAAATAAGACAATGATGGGGGCAAGTCATCGGTCGCAAATAAAAGGTCTCGTTATCACGGCTAATTGCCGGGAACATAGAAGCTTGGTAATGGTCCAAATGCCCACTAGTTTGATATAAATATTCACTTCCAAGAATGGGGGTGATTACTTCCTGAAAACCGAACTTTTGCTGTTTTTTTTGTAAAAAATTTTGAATTTGATTGCGGATAATTACTCAATTAGGTAATAAAATTGGCAGACCTTGTCCGGCTTGGTCGTCCAGAATGTACAGTTCTAATTCTTTGGCAATAATTCGATGGTCCTGATTATTCTTTTCTTTCATTAATTAAGATTTTAACTCGCGGCCGCCACTGCCGAAAGGAAAACTATAAAGTTTCAAAGCATGTGAAAATACATGGGGTAGGTTATATTCCACTTACTTTTGCGATAAGCATAGATAAAGAAAATAGTCATGGGGAGATAACTAAGTAGCAGAAATCCAATAGTAGTGAAATTTAAAACTCCGCCACCCCAATGTAAGAAAATAAATCCTAAGCCAGAGCAAATATAAGCCAACGGATTATTTTTGTTAAATATTTCAAAAATTAGGTAACGGAAAACACATTCTTCAACTATCGGAGCAATTAAAACCACAGTGATAAAACTAAAAATCCAAGAAATATTATAAAGAAGTAAATTAACTGGCTTCTTTTTTAAATCCTGTGGTCGTCTCTCTCTCTCTCTCTCTCTCTCTGCTTCTTTTTGCTTTTCCTTATTCAAATCTTCTTGGGTAATTACTTTTTCTTCCAGCATTTTTGCCACCGTTTCTTGCTGACACTTGGCTTCTAGTTTAATTCGTTCCTTGCCAACCAAAGAGGAAACGATAAAAGCCACCACTCCTACCCCAAATATTTTTAGGTAATTTATTCTTTCCTCAGGTCAATTGCGAAAACCTCAACTTCATCATGTTTTGAGGGTATTTCAAATAATTTTTCTTTGACTAGTAATAACCCAGATAGCACAGATAATCATAGGCAATTGAAACCTAAACTGAGTTCAGATGGCGGTTTTTTCGACGATATTCATAAGTTAATTTAATATTTTACTATTTTCTTTTCCTGTTAACTAATCAAACCAGTAAAAAAATAATCACTACTATTACAAAAAATCCTCCAATAACTTCTCCCTTTGTCATTTTAGAAAAGGAACTACTGCTGGAATTATTTTCTTTCTCCCAAGCACGCTGACATTCTCGGGAACAAAATTTTTTCTTTTTGTTGGGAATTTCATATTTAAAATCCGGAGACTTAGTTTCTTTACAGCAATCACAAACAATTTCATTATTTATTTCGCTAATTGTGCCTTGAATACTAAATCTTTTTTGCTGAGCAGATCTTCAATCAGAACTTTCATTGATTATAGTTTTTCAATCGTTGACTCCTAATTTTTTGTTTAACCGTTGGTCGGAGATAGAATTTTTCTTTAAATCTTGCTCGGTTTCCTCAATGTACTCTTTTTTAGAATTCTCATCGAATTCGTTTTTTCAAGAGTTTGGATCGTTGTTTTGCTTATTCATTCTTTCTCTAATTTTCTTTAACTCTTCCTCGCGTTCCTTTTTTGTTTTTTCATCCTCTTCATCCCATTTTCTTTGCCTCTCCTCTTTCTCCTGCTTTAACTTTTCGATCATTTCTCTAGTACTGTTGTTTTTTTTATCAACATCTTCTTGGAGTTTTTTTGTTTGTTCTCTTTGCTTATTCAATTTATTCTTTGCAAAAGCGGTAATCATTTTTATAATGCCATCATAATAATAAATTACTTCATCACTATCGGTTAGACTATTTATTTTACTAGGAAAGTCAGTGTATTTTTCGCGAGCTCATTCGGTGGTTTGACCTGGATTATCAGTTGCTAATTCTTGTAATTTTGCTTCTAATTCGGACTGGCTAAAATCCATATCTGTTAGGTGCTTTTTGATATTTTTAATTACTTCTTGTTTATTTTCTTGTAGTGTCATATATATATATATATATATAGTTTTATTGTATCTTTTAGTTTAGTTGGTGAACTCTTTGACGAGTTAATTTATTTTACATGGTAGCAGCGAGAGGACTTGAACCTCCGGCCTAACGAATATGAGTCGTTTGCTCTAACCAACTGAGCTACGCTGCCTTATATAACAATAAATTTTATTAAAGAAGTGAGTATGAAAATTTATTTTAGTCCATCTTTTATTCAAGAACCAGTTAGCCTTACTACTGTCGAGGAGAAAGGTCAAGAATATGTTCTTTTTAGAATGGTAGCAGGTGAATATTTAACTTTGGAAAATCCTAATACTTTGCTCCTAGTTCCGAACGATAACTCGGTTTTTACTCGGCAAATTAAGGAAATTGTCGAGAAGGATGAAACTTATCATTGCGTCTTTGTTACTTCGGTGGAAAACTTAAAAGTTAAACCGAATTTTTGAAAGGCGAAAAATCTTACTTTTCACGGGTTATTAATCAAAGATACTAGTCAAGTGGAGAAATTGCCGGAAAATAATTCTAAACCAACTTTGGAGCCAAGCCAAATCACTTTTAAAGTGATTAAATGAACCAAGGGGAAGGAAAATGAATGAGGGAGTTATGTTGGTGTATTAGAAGTAGAACCTTTTTCATTAGGAATAGAAGGAATGCCGCCAATTACTCGTTTAGAATTTTTATTCTCTACTAAGGAAAACCCTCAACCCGGACCTTCTGAACCCGGAATTAAAAAGTTGACTGAAAGCGATTTGTATAACAACAAGTTATTGACCGAGGGAACCGGGAGGAACCTTACCCTGAAAGTTAAAAAATTTTGTTTTAATGACCCTACTACCTTATACTTTGAAAACAGTAACGGTTATGCCTTCGGTTCCTTATCCGAAAAGAAAAACCAAGATGACCCAGTAAGGAATCCCATCAAAACCCCACTTAAAGATAATTCTGACAATCCTCCGCCCAAGACTAGCCCAATTAACCAAAAACAAAAAAACTCGGGAACCCTAAAGGCAGTTTTAATAATCGGCGGAATTATTGCGGGATTAAGTTTTCTCGTCTTTATTATTACTCACTATGCAAAAAAAAAAAAAAAATCCACTTCATTAGGAAATTTTAAATCAGAGAGCAGGAAGGATTGATAAGAATTACTCCAATAAATAAAAGGTTAATTAGCGAGTGGAGCAAAATGGGAGATAGTAAGTTTCAATTGCTTTTTTTATAAATGTAAATTAGTCCAAAACTGGCCAACGAATATTGCAGAAATAGCACTCCAATATTTTCCCCCCGCCAACAATAATGAGTGAAAATAAAAGCCGAAAAAGAAATTAAGTAAGAAAGCGGATTTTCCTTGCCAAAAATGTTGAAAACAAAATAACGATAAACACATTCTTCAATAATCGGAGCAAACACACAAAGTCCGAAAAAAATCCTCAGTAAATGTCAGAAATTATCTTTATTGGTCTTGATAACAAAAACTAACTCCTTTATCTTGTCCGCTTGATAAGGAAAAAAATATTTCAAAACAAAATGAATAATTGTCAAAAAGAAAAGTAAGAAAAGTGCCTGTCAAAAAATTTTTAATTTTTCCTTAGCAAGTGAATAATAAATTCTTTTTCCTTCCTTCTTGATTATCAAACATACCAATAAAAAGCAGAGAAAAGCGTTAAAAGAAAAAATTCGCCAAAAGTTATTTTGAACCCAAGTTGATAAATCAAAGTGAAACATTTTATTTAATTTTAATTACTTTCTTTGTTCATTATCTTTAAAAGTTCTTGTAAATGAAAATAAAATAGACTAGTAAACAGAGCAAAGAAAAAGACCATTGTCAGAATAAAAAATGTAAATTTAATTCAAGAAACTTTCTTTTTTAATAAATGGCTTCCAAAATACCTGAATTAGCGATTTAGCGATTACCCTTCTCGTTCAACTCATAAAACTTAATTTTTAAATAATCAGGATAAGAATTAGCAATATTTTCTAATTGATAGAGCATTAACCGTAAGCATAATTGACATTCGGGGTTGTCGTTTTGGGGATAAATACTTATTTCCGCCGGCTGATAAGAGATTTTGCAATCATTTTTATAATGAAGTTGAAGAAAATTAACGGCACCATTAGTAACGGCTGAAATAGCCGCACAGACAATATCTTGACCTTGACCGGCATAGTTAGCATGGTCTTTAATGACAATATATTCAAAATTGTTTTTCTGGTTTTTTTTATAAAGAACCTGCGTCGGCATATGATAAAAATTTTGGGAACAGGGCGGAGAAATATCCCCGTTCTCCGTTATCTCGAATGACTTTTTCTTTTCCGAGCGTAGATAATTACTCCTACCAGAGCGACAACTACTACCAAACCAACCGGAACAATTATTTTCCATGGAATATCATTGCCTTTATCATTAGAAGCATTACTTTGACTAAGAGCACTTTCTAATTTTTGGGCTAACGCTTCGGCCGTGGATTTTTTTGATTGGTAATTCAAGTTATTAATAAATTGGGTTAATTGTTGTTGCAACTTTTCTAATTCTTTCTTGTCTTTACTTTTTACGGCTTGGTTGACTTTCTTTTCCAAGTCAGTTAACTTTTTCTCAGCAGCTTTTTCGTAAGTATCTTTAACTATTATCTTTTCCGCCTCATCAATCTGATTTGGTTCGCTAATTTCCCCATTTTCTAACTTTTCTAGTTTGGTTTTTGCTTCGGAACCCAATTCATCTTTTTTCACGCCGTTAGTTTCTAATTTGGTTTTGGTTGCTTGGCAAATCGTTGTTCGGTATTTTTCTTTATCTTCCGCTAATTTTTTCCGAGCTGCTTCCTCAGCGGTCTTATCTTCGGTTGTTTGTTGAACACCTTTATCTTTCAATTCCTCGTTTTTCTTTATGGAATCAGCTAATTTTTCTTTATCATTTCCCGCAGCAGTATTTTTCAGATTTTCTCGGTTCTGATTAATTTCCTCCTGAGTTGGCTGGTTAGGAGTCGGTTTTGGGGGCGGAGTTTGCTTATCATTTCCATTAGAAGTATCATTATTTTTTTTGTTATTTCCATTATTAGTTTCCTTTTCCTCGTTGTTTCTTGGTTCATTTCCTGTCGTCTCTTCCGCTTGCTCTTCACTATCATTTCCGTTAGTAGTTTCTTGTTTAGCAATATTGAGTTGAAATTCAGGAAAAACTAATACTCTTATTTCTTTATTGGCTTCATTCACTAGAACATAATGTTTTTCCTCAGCTTTTTTAGGTCTAAGTTCATCATCAGGACCAGCAGCACAACAAAAATTGTTATTATTTTTCTTTGACCCTCCCTCGCTTTTATTTACTTCCATTCCCTTGTCATCAAAACTTAATTCATAGGTTTTCTGCTCTTCCAGAATATCTATTTTTTTCTTTTGATTTCCATCGTTCATAATAAAATAAATCCGCACAATATTAATATTACTTCCGTCAGCAGCAAAATCTAGTGGCAAAATTCTCACGTTAATATCTACTCCGTTATTTTCTTTTCTGTCATATATATATATATATAGTTTTATAAGTTATTTTATGATTTTAGTTGATTTGGTTTCATCTTCATTTCTCACTTTTATCATCATTATTATATATTTTATCTAATGGCAACATAACTACAGGTTTTAATTCAGCAACAAAATCACCGCAAAAACTATTGAATGACCTGACTCAAAT